TCTGCTCTGCTCTGCTCTGCTCTGCTCTGCTCTGCTCTGCTCTGCTCTGCTCTGCTCTGCTCTGCTCTGCTCTGCTCTGCTCTGCTCTGCACTGCTGTACCTGTACTATCCTCTGCTTTGCAGTGCTGTTCATGTGCTCTGCTCTCATTTCCTCATTTCTGTTCCTTTCTTGCTTTACTTTTAGCAATACTATCTTTTCATAAAGGAAGGTTGAAAATTTGTTTTCAATCTTCAAAGCCCTCTTTCTTACCACAGGGGTCCCAAGAAGGCAAAATCATAACTTTTTTTGTCATCGTTTCACAGAGCTGCCCCAGAGAAAGCAGAGAAAGTGTTTTCCAGCCTTGACGATGCCTTTACAGCTTTGTCTAAAGAGCCTTATATCAACACTATTGAGAAAGTGTTTGTTATTGGTGGGCCTACAGTCTATAAGGTACAATAATTATGAATACATATTTTTCCAGCACCTGTTAACACTTCATAATTGGCATTTCTAGCTAACATAAATATATGGGACATAATTGTGTCAGGAGACAGTAAACTTGGGAAAAAATTCTGAGCTACAGAATAGTCCCTTTCACAGTTCGCTGTGCCATCTTGAAAGGTACCGTGCCTTTGAATTGAAGCGAGATGAATGGTGAGTTTGCAATGATAGGGGCCGTTTTTTTAACACCTTGGACAATTATTCCTATGTTTCTATCATTGCATGCTCACCGTTTGTCTCTCTTCAATGCAAAGGTACGGCTACCTTACAAGATGGCACAGGGAACTGTGAAGGGGAGTATTGTACCCACAACCCTACATTATCTAGTCGGATGCTCTAACCACTGAGCTGACCAGTTGCTGCCTCTGATGTTGTTGTTGCTGTTGTTGTTCCTACTATTGACTCTACTGCTGTTGTTGCTGCTGCTCTTTGTTTGCTATTGTTGTTGCTGTTGAAACTTTGCATCCACTGCTCTTCCTATTTTCTCTCATGTTTTCAATTAACACTTTTTGTGCTTCTTCCATCGTTACAGTATTTTTTCCCCTTCTCTTCAGGATGCTATTGCGCATGAATGCTGTAAGAAGATCTATCTCACCCACATTGATCATGATTATGACTGTGATATATTTTTCCCTGAGTTCGATACAAATGTCTACAAACTCGGCAGGTAAAGAAACAGATTGCAGGAAGCTTACTTTTGCAGTTTTGCGGGTCCTTCCTTTTGAGACAACACCCCTCCCCTAGAAACATTTTCCCCCTCACCCCCTCCCTCAGGGAAAGGAATGGCTCAGTTACAAAGGTGCTTTGTACTCTAGCTTGGGTACAAACAACAACACACAAAGTATGGCGAACAAAATATATTTGTACCCAAGCTGGACCACAATGCATCATGTCTGCTATGTCAGAAAAGATTTGTTATATAACTGGGTATCCATTTTTGGTTTTACCGGCATTTGCATTGCTACGCCACCACCCCAGACAAAAATTGCGACGTGCACTTTGCAATAGACTGCCGTCAATCAAACAAGTTGACGTAATTTACACRCGATTGGATCGGCCCGGACAGGCCCGGTGAGTGTGGCTCATAATACTTGTAAACAATCGACAAGTTTTGGCGCCTTTTGGATCACACACGTGTAAAATGGCATTAATGTGTTTGATTGACAGAAGTCTATTGCAAAGTGCACGTCGCGATTTTTGTCTGGGGTGGCCGCGTAGCAATGCAAACGCAGGTAACTAACATTTTTGCTATTTTCTGTTTCAGTGAGGAAGGCGTTCCAGCAGAAGTTCAGAAAGAAAATGGAGTAACTTACAAGTTCTGTGTCTACGAAAGGGATTAACTTTAACCTTAGACATCAATGTCTAATAATGTATTGTTAAATAATAATATTGAATCTGTATAACCACAATAAATATTTGCACATCATAAAAAAACCTGTGAAAGAAACTGGGCCTGGTTGTATTAAGGGTGTACAGCGTTATACAACCAATAAATCTTATTCAGTGGATAAATTTATTGAATAACAGCATCCATCAACTTATCCACTGGATACATATATTTGTTGGACATGATCAATGCATGCTAAACATGCAATCCTGGTTGCACATGGCCAATGCATGGTAGACATGCAATCCTGGTTCATATGGTCAATGCATGCTATGTATGCAATCCTGGTTGTACAACGTCTATGCATGCTAGACATGCAATCCTGGTTGTAAATGGTCTGCATGCTAAACATATGCAATCCTTGTTGCACATGGTCAATGCGTGCATACTAGACATGCATTCCTGCACAACATGAAATCCTATTTCTCTCATTGCGTTAATTTTCATGGCACATTCAAGAAATATTGATTTTCCTCTAATTTGATAGTTAATTTTTAATGAAACAAAGCTTAACTTCAGATTATTTGAAACTGTTATTCAAAAAAGCATTATGTGTAGCAATTAGCACAAGAGGAACTTAACTGGATGAGGTTACAGCACCTCATTACATGATATCTTTATTTCTAGCTTACATGGAGAAGGTCATATTKATAATATTCCAATTTGCATCCAATTTCCCAAAATGTTCATTTGAGACTTAACAACATTGTCATTTTATATTAGCTAGGCTAATGTTTTCGCATTTCAGACCTGGTGTCATTCCCTTGAGTATTATTTCTTTCTTCACTAGGAATGCTTTTCAGCTATGGTGCAATGTTTTCGCATTTCAGACCATGTGTCATTCTCTTGAAAAGAATATTTGAGTTGTATCTATATTCATGTATCTTCTCATGAACAACTGTTAAAAAAAGAAATGATACTCAAGGGAATGACATGGTCTGAAATGGCAAAACATTGCACCATAGCTGAAAAGCATTCCTAGTAAAGAAAGAAATGATACTCAAGAGAATGACACATGGTCTGAAATGGCAAAACATTGCACCATAGCTAAAAAGCATTCCTAGTAAAGAAAGAAATGATACTCAAGGGAATGACACATGGTCTGAAATGGCAAAACATTGCACCATAGCTGAAAAGCATTCCTAGTAAAGAAAGAAATGATACTCAAGGGAATGACATGGTCTGAAATGGCAAAACATGCCCAAGGTAAAAGGGACTATTTATAAATTAGATATACAGATACAAAATTCTTCTGCCAAACTTGGTCGATCATTTAATAATCAGGTTGCTCTTTCTTTTTGACGTCCCTCCAAGTGCATCTTCCTCAAAGTTTGTGTGCGCTTCCGGTGACGCCCTTTCCCTTTGCTTGCGCACTTAACTAGGCGCACTTACCCACAAATAACGATGGCTCATGATAATGCTCAGGCAGGCATTATAAAGCATAAAATCCAACACTCTTGTACGACATGCATGCCAAATGAGTCACATTTCATCATTACTATGGTAACAGTTACTAGGTAACGGATTCGTCATTCCGGATAGTTTATTCCATAAGGCGCAGGAAATTTTCACGGTGGGAAACCAAAATGATTGCGCAACTCGTACAGATTACTTTAATTTTATCATTGCTTTGGTAACAGTTACTATGGCAACAGATTCTTCACTGGTCGATTTACAAGGCGCGGTGAAGGCGGTTTGAACGAGTACTTTGATTTTTCCTTGCTTCTGCTTGAGCTTTCAACATCCAGAGGAGAAGGAGAACAGGAAAAGTAGCCCTCTTCTGGCTGGTCTTGCTGCTTCCGAGAAATATTCAGCGGGGGTAAAAATGCCAGCCGTCTTTGTTTCGGGCTTCCTGTGGTGCTACTCACCACTTCCGGTAAGTGGTTGTGACTTCCGGTCAAATAGGATTGACTTCCGGTCGGATTCAAGGTTTCTGACGACGAAGGGACCGACCTGGCGTAGCGTGTATGATACTGATCGGACACGTGAAGTTCGGGAGCCAGGGAAAATGGATCGAGATTAGACGGCGATCGACCACGTGACCTGGGCGTATGCAAGACAAGATCTGGCAAGTCGCTAGAGAGTTTGTTTCGTGGGCTGTGACATCGAAGAGGTTCCCCGGTGGACGACGTTGCCATGGTGACGATGTCACAGCACGGGCTTACGTTGCTTGCTTTGCGTTCCTGTGGCGGGGTTCCTGTGGTGGACGCAGTTGTTGAAAGTGGGGTAAACGAAGAGCTTCTCTCACGAGTTACCAACTTCGTCGTTCCAGCGGTGGAATCAATAACGCATGCGCTGCTTGATTCTTCTTTGCCGTTACTGTGGTGAACATGCCTGGTCCCCGATGCGCTTGCGCGCCTTCTTTCATGGCTCACGCTGTCAGACAGTGTTCTTCTTACTGCTGTCTTTTCCACTTGCGAGTTTTTCCCGGATTCTTTTCCTTCCCTTTCTTTTCCCTTCCATCCAATATTATCAAGAGGAGAAATAACAGGAAGATTGAAAGGGAGAGGCGCATTCGTTTTCAGCTCAGTCTTGGAGGCATCTAGTTTTCTACCTTTTGCTGAATTATGCGTAGTATGAACGCCTGCATTTTCATTGCCATTTTTTTTACCAAGCTCTTGCGCATGCTCAAATGGACCACGACCATGAGAAAAATCAACTTCCGGTGAACGAATTTTCTTCCGGAAAGATTTCATTTCCGGTGAAGTAACAACTGTGATTGGTGTTCGACTTAAATCCCTGGGGGGTGGGGAAGGTCGAAGGTTGTGTTCCTCACCCCATAAATTTAGGCTTCTACGCTTATCATCACTGCGCAGGTCCATTGCACCAAGCGTGAACCTTCTCATTGCCTCAGTTTCGTTACCAGTCGTTTTTCGTTCCCAGTCTTCTATGACGTCACCTTTCTGAGATGGAGTCGAAGTCCCTACTGTTCTCCGACGTGGCGTGCGGGGAGATTCTTGGTTTTGAGCCGACATCCCACAAGGTAAAGCGCAAGACGATTTCATAAGTTCATTTCTTGATTGTCCAATCTGGGTACTTTGTACCTCATATTCCTTTGACAATTTTTTCTTGCGATCAACTCCAGCGCAGGTTTCTTGAGTTCCATCAGAGTGGCCAGTCTTTTCAGAACGATATTTCAAATCCGTTTGACTTTGATTTAGTTTTTCAACGTCTTTGGAGTTTTTATTATCGTTAATCTTCTTTCTGGAATGTTCTTCCCTTTCTTTAGTGAGCATTTCATCTAAAGCCCTAGTACATTTAGCCACTGCAAAAATTTCGCTATTTTTTGAAGACTCTTCTTCCGTTATACCCTCGACTTTTATCTGCAAATTTTGAGCATTCAAAGAATCGGTCGAGTCGACGGATGACGTCACAGAGTCACGCATGCGCAGTAATTTCTCCAAACTCGAGAAATTCGTCGACGAGCGATCAAACGACGAATTATCCGAATCCGAAAAATGAAGACTTATTCGCTCGTCTTCGGACGCCGACCGGCTTGCGGAGGCCAACGAAGCCCTTCGTAATGGCTTCGTAGTAGACTCGCCTTCGCTAGATCCTTCGCTTGCTTCTAGTCCTATAGGATCGAAATGGCATATGGATCTCTTTCGCCGTCTTTCACGTGTGGGACTTTCAGTAAATTCGTCGACTTCACTGACAGCAAGAAGATTAGATTGATTTGTGTTTCTCTTTTCTTTTCCTGTGGAAATTCTCGGCCCCATTAGAGGCCACGAACACTTTCTTATTTCCGGCATTTCGTCTAAACGATCTTCCAATTTTTTCATYTCGATATTGAAGCTCCCTGGTTTTGTCAAAATCTTTCCCTCTCTGCACGCTTGAATCATTAGTTTAACAGCTCCAATGTTCCCTGCGTTGATAGCATAATCAAACGATGTGTTATTACCCTCGTCTACTAACCACGGATTTGCTTTCGAGTTGACTAACATTCGTATTATATTATCCGACGAGTTGGTTAAGCAAGCATGCATCAATGCAGTCCTTCCATGGATATCTTGTAGATTGACTTTCACTCGTTTTCGTATTAGATAATCGACGACTTTTTCTTTTTCCTCGCTTTCTGACTTACAGGCTAAGATGAGTGGAGTTTCTTGATTCTCATTTCGTACATTTGTGAGCGTTCCTCCTTCAATTAGTAGCCTGATAAGACGGTATTTACAGTCGCTGCTCGCTCGAAGAAGAGCTTCAGGCCCTAATGAGTCCTTGTCAGCCATTGCAAGTCAGCTTCACTGTTTTATACTTTCATATCAATGTATTCCACACCAGCCTAGCACTGAAACGAAAGTTAGAATTAGCTATAAATTTGTTGAGTTGCGCAATGAGGAAATATATATATATAGTTATTTTGACATACAAATTTTCACTACACGCGGTGTGTAAACTGGTTGTCAAACCAGCCCATTTCCTGTTCTTTGCATAATCGATCTAAATTCAATGTTCCAAGCAGACTCAGTTTTGCGCTAACATGCTAACTCACTCTAGCACTAAGAGTTAACACCTGTTAAATATATATTTATATACAGCAACTCAGCATGGAAAAGTTTTCTGTTTCACAGATCGATTGGCATCCAACATTAACATTAATTCCTCATCGATTTGGTCTTTCTAAGCCACGTTATGTCATAATGCATGTATGTTTTGCTCCTTTTTAGACTACGATACAACTGACGATATACTCTATTATCTAGCCTTAAAGCCTCACCTTTGTCGAATATTCTCTTCTTAAATGTTAAGAATTATCTCAAATCAATAGCTAAACTCCTCAGTCCAACATAAAGAGTCAACATAACTGACTATTTAGAATTCAAAATGAGCTCTAAATGATCGGGAAAAACAATCGAGTTTAACTGTTTCCTAGCAGATGTTCTGTGCTATATTGATTAGTCAATGTGGTACTTAGATATTCGACTTTTCACTGCAGTTGTTAAAGCGGTATCTAATTTGAAATTTAGCCATCAATTTGTCATATAATGTCAATCGAAATACTCTACTAATGCTAACATTTTGATATATGGATGGGGTATTCAAATTTCTTAAAGTGTTTTGTGAAAATGATATGTAGATCCATCTTCGCCTTTACTCTCGCTCGTCTCCTTCTTGCTTTCCCTTTCTGTGTTTCGATCTTAACTCCATCCATCCATCCATCCATCCATCCATCCATCCATCCATCCATCCATCCATCCATCCATCCATCCATCCA